CAAGTGAATAGTATTCACACTATTGGAAAAATTTCAACAATCAGTATAGGAGGTTTTTAATTCCCTATTCCTACTACCAAAAGGAAATATGATATTCTTATTGTTGGGGACATGCATATCCCCATTGAGGTGACCTAGTGTTATACGAAGATTCTCTGGTTTCATGTCATTTAGAAGAAGTTTGTTAATAAGACTTGATCAACCTTATTAATGGATTCTTTTTTGACGGGTATGTGGTCGATGAATTTAGTAAACGCAAATTTTTGTACCCACTTTCTACTTTCTATTATTTAGATTTAATAATGTAGAAATACCTTCATATGTCGTTTTCGGAATTATACCTGCAATAAAATATGACCAGAAAATAAAAGTTCTCCAAATGCCCTGAAAATCTAATATGTTTTTTTTGTATTATTTGAAAAAATTTAGCACTAAACACACCGGGGGGGTGCACCTATGAGCCACAAGCTCATAGGGCGCGCCTACCCCCTGGGCACGCCTAGCAAGCTTGTGGGGCCCATATAGGCCCCTCACTTATTGCTGCCACCCATGCACTTCTTCCTCCAGAAAAAATCATCCTCTTGCTCAAACTCATGTTCTTGCTCACCTTCTTGTCATTTTCGATCTCCTTGCTCGGAACTCCCTTTCCAAATCTGTTTTGGGGGATTACTCATTGGTATGTGACTCCTCTGTTGGTCCTATTAGTTTGTTCTAGTGCTTTATAAATTGCAATTTTTTGCTGCTGTGGTGACCATATTCTTGAGCTTTCATGTCAAATTTATATGGTTCAAAGTAGTTTTGTTGCATGATATAGCCTCTAGACACTTGTGGGAGTAGTTGCTATCATATTTTGTGGAGTTTTGTTCACTTTTATTTTTGAGTTACTAAAAATTCAGAAATTTTCAGAGGGAGAAAATGTTTAGGAAAATGTTCCAATGTCGTTCCTTGAGCAAGAAATCTCCGAGGCTCGCTATACGTAAGCCAGACCTTGAACCACCAAGGGAAGCTGTAGTGCAACATTGCGAATGGCCGTCGAATTATTTCATGACTCGCACAGGTTTCAAGGAAGAATTTGATATGTACGTGCACAACACCGACATGACAGATTTCTTGTCAGATAAGGTACTAGTAGAACGAGGTGCTATACAAAGGGTTTTAACCGCTTTCCGCGACGGCATTTGGAACCGTCGCCTAGTGAGTGAATGTGATAGGGGGGTCCTTCCCACACGACCCAGAAACCACCGGGGATATGCCCTCCTGGCACACACGCTCGGCAAAATGAGGTCGTGTGCGACCGGCGAGCGATCAAATACGGTTATACATATAGTAGTGCTAAAAAGTTCAATTATAGAGGCGAAATCGTTTCCAGTCGTAAGTGCATCCCACACAGTCAGTACCAGCTAAACGGTTCCGTTCGTATATACATCCCACACAGTCGTTCCAAGGAAACCATTCTTATTCGCAGGTACATCACACACAATGTTCCCCGTTAAATCATTTGTGATAGTGTTTCCATTGCACATGGTATTAACAATTTTATCGTTATTGAATGCATCACACACGGTGCATAGAAGAAATTGTGTGGCAAAGGTTGTCCATCACACACAGTTTTTATGTGGTAAATGTTTGCGCCAGGTGGCCTAATGCAAACACTTTTCTAGAGGATGTCATGTGTGATTGTTCATTAATTTAACACGGTTTATTCCTAGAAACTGTGTGCGTTGCCTGAGGTCATCGCCCATGGTGTTTTCTCATAACCGTTTGCAATAGAAAAACCCAATTAGCAGGCTAATTATCCTATTGTTAATAATCCATTTATTAATCTAATTGACATTTCATATTAAGCACAAAATATATTTCATTTTCATAATTGAAATACATCAAAGTACAACATCATATAGCTTCAGCACTCAGCTACCCCATTACATAACTGCACCAGCACCAAGTTTCAGATGCAACATCTATAACCTTTCGAAATTAGCATCATAGACGGTACATAGACAGATGTATCTCATATGGAAAACTACTGAAGCAGAAGGCGAATATTGAGCCTTCATTGATGTTGAAGGTCTTTGCAACTTTAGGCCAGTGCCTGTGGATGATTGACCGTACACTACAAGAAATATGTCAACTAGTGACCTTTTGTCAGTGACCCTGGAAGAATTGGTCATAGATCTATGACCATTTCAGACCAATTGGTCAAAAGCTGTTTGAGGGGCTCCAAACCCTAAACCATTGCGACCATTTTGGTCAGAAAGGTCATAATTTCCTTACACGAAAAGGTCACAAAGCAAACAGTGCTAGTCCGCTGCCTTATTTCTAGTTGTTAATGACCAATATATATGGTCATAGCCTTGTAGATTGTGGTGGGTTGTGATGACTAGGCACCATCTCATCAGTTTTGCCTATGTGTCATGTCCATGTGGCGGTTTTTGCCCTAGGTTGTGAAGCAACCTATATTTCTGTTATTCCCAAAATTCCCAAAAAAATCTCATAAATTCTTTGGGTCATATCTTCGTCAAATATGTAAAGACCTTCCTTGCCTAGTTCAAAAATAATTCAAAAATATTCATTTTCCTATTCTGGTCAGAGCAGCACTTTGTGAAGGAAGTACCACTTTGGCATGTCCAAATGGTATCCATTTTCTACAGTGCTTTCCTATGCCCAAATAACCATCCTCCACCAAATGCCAGCTCAATCCATTCATTGTTTTGAGCCCAGCTTCAACATTCGTATTTATGTCCAGTGTGGTAGTTTGTAAAGCAAGTACCACCTAGACTCCTCCTTTTGAGGTGAAAATTTGTGAAGACGGTCTTCTTAGTAACTGATCCTCTTCAGCCAAAACTCATGCCCATTAGCCATGTGCATTTCCCGTACCGCAAATCAAACACTTGGCTGCTAATTCATGTTTGAGCATCAATCGGTCTCCTCGTGAGAATCTTATGTTGTGATTTTCTTCCTAGAACCTACCTGGGGAGTGCCCAACCCACTAGACATGCCTAGGCCGCCCAGAACACATGGCAACGCCACGGTCACGCGGTGACCACGCGGCGGGCATGCGAGCTTACGCACTCTAGAGTTGGGGCCCTCGGCCTCCGTCCAAACCTCGATGTATCGCCATCAAACCATGTATTTTTGATTAAATAGATACTTATTTACCTAGAAATGATTTTTGGAAAAAATAAAGAGCAAACTATGAGGCAGCTGCAGTTCAAATTTGACCCGTTTCCAACTGAATCAACGGCAATTTGTCTTTTTCACCAGAGGTGGATCAAAACTTTTTTCACCCAACCATTTTGTCAATTGTGCATTATATATGGCCTAGTATTTTATAAAATTGATTTGGTCCATTTTTGCAACAATTATTTGGTAGTTCCTTCACAAAAAACCTCCTTTTGGGCACTCGAAAAATGAAAAATGAAATTTCCGTGCAAAGAAAATGAAAACTTCCTTAGGCAACATTGTTTGGAATTCCAAGATGTACCCTTGTGCACAATATGAGATCATTTGAACAAACTATGCCATGAATGTGGCCATAAGATTGATCATTTGGCTTGAAAGCCATGAATCTTCACGCATGATAGCTCATTTCTGAGAACACTTTTTTAAAATAATTACCGTATTACAATTTTATTATTTTTCTTGGAAACTTGCTCACATATAATGACACAATGCGAAGGTTTTCCAATTTTTTGATTTTTTTGAATTTTTTATGCCCGTTTCAAAATGCGGTCAAAACAGCGGGCATGACCGTTCCTAGCTAGTGGTTGAATCTTGGAATTTTTTTGGTGTTTCTCTGATTAAACAGATACTTATGTACCTAGAAATGATTTTTGGAAAAAATAAAGAGCAAACTACAAGGCAGCTACAGTTCAAATTTGACCCGCTTCCAGTTGAATCGGCGGATATTTGTCTTTTTCACGAGAGGTGAATAAAAGCTTTGGACACTCAACTATTTGGTCAGTTGTGCATTATATATAGCCTATTATTTTTAGAAAATTAATTTGGTACAATTTTACAACAAGTATGTCCTTCACAAAAAAACTCATTTTGGACACTTTAAAAATGGAAAATGATTTAAAAAAACTAATTTCTCCTAACTCTTTTAACAAATATTTGTCTTATTTCGATTTGTCATTATTCCTGAAAACTAAGGTCAAATTTGATGAAACATGAGAAGGTATTTTATTTTTATTTTTATTTTTCAGATCATAAAATAGCCAATATGATTTAGCACCTTAGTTTTAGTCGATTATGACCAATTTAGATGGTCAAAAAATGTAGTACTGGTATACTGCGTTTTGATTGGTCCAGGAGCATCTCACGCGGATCGTGCCTAATCACCATCGGATGCTCCTGGATCCAACGGCCCGCCTGTCTCACCCACGTCCCCCAACCCACAACCTGCACTCCTCCCATGCACCCAACCGCACCCAACCCATCGTGCCCTCCTCTCTTTCTCTGGAACCCTAGTGCTCCATTCCTCACTGGCCGCCGCCACCTCCGGCACCCTCTGTCCGCCACCACCTCCGACACCCTCTGTCCTGCGAGATCCATATGGATCAATCCCCTCCAACCCTCCAACTCCACGACTCCTGCTCCTCCTCTCTGGATCGATCACCCCCAACCCATGACTCCTCCTCCTCTCCTCCTCTCCGGATATACCCAACCGCTTCTCCCCCAATCCCGGCCTCCTCCATGCCGAGACGAGCGACACTCCCCACTGCCAACCGAAACTCTAGCCTGAGACCCCTTCCTCCTCGATGGCCAACCCCTCCGTGGCGGCTGGCGGCAGGGTGCCCTTGGCGGAGGGGGTCCGCGCCGTCGGGGCCCAGATCCACAACCGCATCCGCGTGGCGCCCGTCGACCGTGTGGCTGTGGCCCTGGCGACGCAATGGTAGCGTCGGCTCTGGCGGCGTTGGAGGCAGCATGCCAGTCCCTGAGAAACCGCGAGATCCTCAGCATTGTGGGCACCACCACGGTGGCGCCAAGCACCACCGATGCCGATGGGGTCCAACGAGGCGGACAAGCCGCTGCGGCGGACCGGTGCATCGTTTGAGCAGCTCGCTGCCGTCGCCAAGCCGCAGCAGCAGCCCGCGATGGCGGCGGGGGACTTCTTGCGTGCCTGCTCCAACGTCTCCGTCCTCTTCGGCTGCCTCGGCATCGCCTTCAAATTTGCCGAGATGGACTATGTCGCCAAGGCAAGCGGCCGCTCCTCAGCCCCCCTCTCCTTCCCCGCTACCTGCTCTGCTGTTTGGTATGCTACTTTGTTGTGCTTGTACTGTATGTGGTAAAATTTCTGGTGATTCCTTCTCGGGACATTGATTTAGTTGTGTGAAGCTGAGAGGTTTGGGATGAAATGACCACTGCTTGTTCAATCATTCTTTGTGATTACAGTTTTGATTGTATCTCCAGTATTGACAAATACCATTGCTTGTTCAAATTTAGACTAGAGTTGCTTGTTCAACACTGATAAAATATCATTGCTTGTTTCAGGACTCCGCTATACTGAACAAATGTATTAATCCAGTATTATGTGCAAGCAATTTCTAGGATCGGTATTCAGTTTAGATGCAGATTCAGTCAACACTAGGGATCAATATTCAGTTAACACTAGGACAATACTCAGTATAACAATATTCAGTTAACAATATTTCTTGCCATTGCCGAGGGACAAATGGTCGGATTTTCTAATATACCCAAAATTGTGTCCTGCCAGTAGTTCTTGGTATAATCGGTTGACTTGGTAACCTAAGGATATTCATGGCAAGAGAACCCGAACATTTTTCTTGCTTCCCGGTTCTCCCTATTTGTGCTGGAAAGAACATTTTACAAGTGAAGTAATGCTCTGCCATTTTCTAGGACGATGAGAAGGAGGTGGCAGATGATGTGGTGCAAATCTGTGTTCCCTTGCTGCTAGTTCTTAGTTCAATTCCATGACTTCACTACCGAATTTTGTGTTACACTTGAGTTGTTTGTCCAATTGTTCTGAAGCTGAACCTAGAGAAGGATGTCTCGTCAGTCATAACAGTGCGCGATTACTTTTGTACTTGTTGATTGTATTCACTGGAGTCTGAATCAGTAACCACGCTTGTTTTGTGTAATAACATAGCATACTATCGGCCTTATTTGTGCTAGAATAATGGATCTGCAATTATTTAGGATGAAGTACCAGATGATGAAAATGTACACTTTGTCGTTCATGAGCGGTCAAAGCAAAAACCTTCCACATGATATGCTTGGCATGACTCAGTGCCGCTCAACTAAAATGAATATTTTTTCACAGTTCAAAAACTGGAAGCAACTTCTGGATGGCAAGCGAACATACCTCCGACCACCAAGGGGGCACCATGTTGCTGCTGCAGGTGGAACCAGAAGAAGCAACCCCCCTTGACGGACGTGGCTGCTGCACATCTCAAGTGGTGAGCGCCTCCCCATCTCAAGTGGTGTTCTACCCGGCCCCCTGCACATCTGATTATATTTGATTTGATTGATGTGCACATAAACACATGCGATTCTTCCGAACACAACTTGGTGATGTTGATTGCTTTGGTTTGGTTCAGTTTGACACAATTTGAAAGTATCTGATTGCTATTGTGTTGTTCGTTGATTGCTTGAGCAGAGCAAAATCTGTGTACGTGTACATGCAAGACGCCTCTATTGCTTGTTGTTGGTCCGCTGCGGTGCTGCACTATCCAGGACAGGACACGATGTTGGTGTCTTTTCTGATCATTGATTGGTGTGTAGCCCTGCTACTAAAATGTCCTGCTGCTGTGTAGCTCTACTGATGATGCAGATTGACAGATCTTTTATGCTTGTGTTTGATTTCATTCCATGTCTACTTACTTGCTTAATCATGAAGTAAATTGCTCGGTGCAGATATTTTCTCTTAAGATTTTTGCAGTGTATGTCATCTAAATAAAATTGCAGGCAGTGATCTTCTTGTATGAGTATATATGTCTGCATTGCATGTTGGTTTTGTGAAAATATGATGATTACTTCCTAGGTACTGCATATTTTGTTTAGCTTGAGGTTTTGTATGCACTAGTATTACCCTGTTTAGCTTCAGGTTTGAAGCTCTAGTATGCTTAGAGTGACCGGTTTCATTAGTCTCTTAATCGACAAGTGAACTGGACTATTTTACTGTATTTCCGTCATACTCCTTTCATTTATTTAGTGACTGCAGACTGGGAAAATGCCATGTGTACCTTAATCCTTGTGGTTCTCATTTGTTCCCGGTTTGGTGAGCTTGCCCTGAGGTCTGTGGCTGCGTGCAGGGACCAGGCCCATGATGGTGAGGGACTACTACGACGTGCTCGGAGGGAAGAAGGATGCTGACCAGGGTGAGATCAAGAAGGCGTATTACGCGGTATGGCTCGCAACAATTGGGTATGGCACTTATATTGTAATCTTTGGCTTGTCTAAGACTAAACTTCTGAAGGCTGCTTGTGGGTAGTAATTTTACTTGGTAGATGCTCGAAGCCAAAAACACACACATTATGTACTAAATGTGGTCGCATAAGCTCGTGCTTAGAAATCAAATCTTTTTGCTGCAAACATTTTACAATGGTACGAGCAGAAATCTCTGGTGGAGCAAGCCTTTTTGCTGCAAACATTTTACATTCCAATGCTTGGTGGTAGCCACTGTCCAAAAATAAACGAATTGTTCAGACTTCAGGCTTATTAGGGGGTGTGTTCTTCTGATTTGCGATTCTGATAGGACTTCTTCTCGTACCATTGGTCGATTCTGTCCAACTGAATTGATGATACAGAGCATTAAACACTTAGGAAAAGTACTTGGCTGTGTGCAAAAATTGCTTTTACAAGAATTAATTTTTTCTGCCTCTAATTGAAGCTGACGACAACAGTTATGTTCTATCTCTGATTTGCTGATGACATCTTCATTCTTTTCATCCAGTGAGAAAACATGGCATCATCCATGAGTCTTGCAGCGAAAGGTCTGCTCCCCTTTGGAGCGCTCCCCTCGAGCGGCGTCGCGCAGAGGCCGGTGTCAGTGACCGCCTCACTGGAGCACAAGAGTGATTATAAGAGGAAGCTCCTGAAGTGGTTGCCTCCCTGGCCTTACTGCTGTTGCTGGTTGCTTCCCCGTCCCCGTCCCCTACAGTGCTATATTGCATCACTGATCTGCACTGTTTGGTGTGTCTCATTCCTAGTATTGTTATGTTCAACCACATTGCCAGTGTTCAGAAATAACACCTACTCAACTATTTGGTCAGTTGTGCATTATATATAGCCTATTATTTTAGAAAATTAATTTGGTACAATTTTACAACAAGTATGTCCTTCACAAAAAAACTCATTTTGGACACTTTAAAAATGGAAAATGATTTAAAAAAACTAATTTCTCCTAACTCTTTTAACAAATATTTGTCTTATTTCGATTTGTCATTATTCCTGAAAACTAAGGTCAAATTTGATGAAACATGAGAAGGTATTTTATTTTTATTTTTATTTTTCAGATCATAAAATAGCCAATATGATTTAGCACCTTAGTTTTAGTCGATTATGACCAATTTAGATGGTCAAAAAATGTAGTACTGGTATACTGCGTTTTGATTGGTCTAGGAGCATCTCACGCGGATCGTGCCTAATCACCGTCGGATGCTCCTGGATCCAACGGCCCGCCTGTCTCACCCACGTCGCCCAACCCACAACCTGCACTCCTCCCACGCACCCAACCGCACCCAACCCATCGTGCCCTCCTCTCTCTCTCTCTCGAACCCTAGCGCTCCATTCCTCCCTGGCCGCCGCCACCTCCGGCACCCTCTGTCCGCCACCACCTCCGACACCCTCTGTCCTGCGAGATCCATATGGATCGATCCCCTCCAACCCTCCAACTCCACGACTCCTGCTCCTCCTCTCTGGATCGATCACCCCCAACCCACGACTCCTCCTCCTCTCCTCCTCTCTGGATATACCCAACCGCTTCTCCCCCAATCCCGGCCTCCTCCATGCCGAGCCGAGCGACACTCCCCACTTCCAGCCGAAACTCTAGCCTGAGACCCCTTCCTCCTCGATGGCCAACCCCTCCGTGGCGGCTGGCGGCAGGGTGCCCTTGGCGGAGGGGGTCCGCGCCGTCGGGGCCCAGATCCGCAACCGCATCCGCGTGGCGCCCGTCGACCGCGTGGCTATGGCCCTGGCGACGCAATGGTAGCATCGGCCCTGGCGGCGTTGGAGGCAGCATGCCAGTCCCTGAGAAACCGCGAGATCCTCAGCATTGTGGGCACCACCACGGTGGCGCCAAGCACCACCGATGCCGATGGGGTCCAACGAGGCGGACAAGCCGCTGCGGCGGATCGGTGCATCGTTTGAGCAGCTCGCGGCCGTCGCCAAGCCGCAGCAGCAGCCCGCGATGGCGGCGGGGGACTTCTTGCGTGCCTGCTCCAACGTCTCCGTCCTCTTCGGCTGCCTCGGCATCGCCTTCAAATTTGCCGAGATGGACTATGACGCCAAGGCAAGCGGCCGCTCCTCAGCCCCCCTCTCCTTCCCCGCTACCTGCTCTGCTGTTTGGTATGCTACTTTGTTGTGCTTGTACTGTATGTGGTAAAATTTCTGGTGATTCCTTCTCGGGACATTGATTTAGTTGTGTGAAGCTGAGAGGTTTGGGATGAAATGACCACTGCTTGTTCAATCATTCTTTGTGATTACAGTTTTGATTGTATCTCCAGTATTGACAAATACCATTGCTTGTTCAAATTTAGACTAGAGTTGCTTGTTCAATGCTGATAAAATATCATTGCTTGTTTCAGGACTCCGCTATACTGAACAAATGTATTAATCCAGTATTATGTGCAAGCAATTTCTAGGATCGGTATTCAGTTTAGATGCAGATTCAGTCAACACTAGGGATCAATATTCAGTTAACACTAGGACAATACTCAGTATAACAATATTCAGTTAACAATATTTCTTGCCATTGCCGAGGGACAAATGGTCGGATTTTCTAATATACCCAAAATTGTGTCCTGCCAGTAGTTCTTGGTATAATCGGTTGACTTGGTAACCTAAGGATATTCATGGCAAGAGAACCCGAACATTTTTCTTGCTTCCCGGTTCTCCCTATTTGTGCTGGAAAGAACATTTTACAAGTGAAGTAATGCTCTGCCATTTTCTAGGACGATGAGAAGGAGGTGGCAGATGATGAGGTGCAAATCTGTGTTCCCTTGCTGCTAGTTCTTAGTTCAATTCCATGACTTCACTACAGAATTTTGTGTTACACTTGAGTTGTTTGTCCAATTGTTCTGAATCTGAACCTAGAGAAGGATGTCTCGTCAGTCATAACAGTGCGCGATTACTTTTGTACTTGTTGATTGTATTCACTGGAGTCCGAATCAGTAACCACGCTTGTTTTGTGTAATAACATAGCATTCTATCGGCCTTATTTGTGCTAGAATAATGGATCTGCAATTATTTAGGATGAAGTACCAGATGATGAAAATGTACACTTTGTCGTTCATGAGCGGTCAAAGCAAAAACCTTCCACATGATATGCTTGGCATGACTCAGTGCCGCTCAACTAAAATGAATATTTTTTCACAGTTCAAAAACTGGAAGCAACTTCTGGATGGCAAGCGAACATACCTCCGACCACCAAGGGGGCACCATGTTGCTGCTGCAGGTGGAACCAGAAGAAGCAACCCCCCTTGACGGACGTGGCTGCTGCACATCTCAAGTGGTGAGCGCCTCCCCATCTCAAGTGGTGTTCTACCCGGCCCCCTGGACATCTGATTATATTTGATTTGATTGATGTGCACATAAACACACGCGATTCTTCCAAACACAACTTGGTGATGTTGATTGCTTTGGTTTGGTTCAGTTTGACACAATTTGAATGTATCTGATTGCTATTGTGTTGTTCGTTGATTGCTTGAGCAGAGCAAAATCTGTGTACGTGTACATGCAAGACGCCTCTATTGCTTGTTGTTGGTCTGCTGCGGTGCTGCACTATCCAGGACAGGACACGATGTTGGTGTCTTTTCTGATCATTGATTGGTGTGTAGCCCTGCTACTAAAATGTCCTGCTGCTGTGTAGCTCTACTGATGATGCAGATTGACAGATCTTTTATGCTTGTGTTTGATTTCATTCCATGTCTACTTACTTGCTTAATCATGAAGTAAATTGCTCGGTGCAGATATTTTCTCTTAAGATTTTTGCAGTGTATGTCATCTAAATAAAATTGCAGGCAGTGATCTTCTTGTATGAGTATATATGTCTGCATTGCATGTTGGTTTTGTGAAAATATGATGATTACTTCCTAGGTACTGCATATTTTGTTTAGCTTGAGGTTTTGTATGCACTAGTATTACCCTGTTTAGCTTCAGGTTTGAAGCTCTAGTATGCTTAGAGTGACCGGTTTCATTAGTCTCTTAATCGACAAGTGAACTGGACTATTTTACTGTATTTCCGTCATACTCCTTTCATTTATTTAGTGACTGCAGACTGGGAAAATGCCATGTGTACCTTAATCCTTGTGGTTCTTATTTGTTCCCGGTTTGGTGAGCTTGCCCTGAGGTCTGTGGCTGCGTGCAGGGACCAGGCCCATGATGGTGAGGGACTACTACGACGTGCTCGGAGGGAAGAAGGATGCTGACCAGGGTGAGATCAAGAAGGCGTATTACGCGGTATGGCTCGCAACAATTGGGTATGGCACTTATATTGTAATCTTTGGCTTGTCTAAGACTAAACTTCTGAAGGCTACTTGTGGGTAGTAATTTTACTTGGTAGATGCTCGAAGCCAAAAACACACACATTATGTACTAAATGTGGTCGCATAAGCTCGTGCTTAGAAATCAAATCTTTTTGCTGCAAACATTTTACAATGGTACGAGCAGAAATCTCTGGTGGAGCAAGCCTTTTTGCTGCAAACATTTTACATTCCAATGCTTGGTGGTAGCCACTGTCCAAAAATAAACGAATTGTTCAGACTTCAGGCTTATTAGGGGGTGTGTTCTTCTGATTTGCGATTCTGATAGGACTTCTTCTCGTACCATTGGTCGATTCTGTCCAACTGAATTGATGATACAGAGCATTAAACACTTAGGAAAAGTACTTGGCTGTGTGCAAAATTTGCTTTTACAAGAATTAATTTTTTCTGCCTCTAATTGAAGCTGACGACAACAGTTATGTTCTATCTCTGATTTGCTGATGACATCTTCATTCTTTTCATCCAGTGAGAAAACATGGCATCATCCATGAGTCTTGCAGCGAAAGGTCTGCTCCCCTTTGGAGCGCTCCCCTCGAGCGGCGTCGCGCAGAGGCCGGTGTCGGTGACCGCCTCACTGGAGCACAAGAGTGATTATAAGAGGAAGCTCCTGAAGTGGTTGCCTCCCTGGCCTTACTGCTGTTGCTGGTTGCTTCCCCGTCCCCGTCCCCTACAGTGCTATATTGCATCACTGATCTGCACTGTTTGGTGTGTCTCATTCCTAGTATTGTTATGTTCAACCACATTGCCAGTGTTCAGAAATAACACCTACTCACTATGCAAATGCATGCAACATAATCTGAAATTCATTCAATTTGACTGTGTGTAAACACTATAGTGTACAACTATCAACTTGTTTCACTATTCAGTTTGTCACCCATTCAGCTTTCTTAGTGGGGCATCTTTCTTGTGAGAGTTTACTTGAAAGTACAATATGTTAGAAGAAACTACCATGTCTCCGAAATGAATCATTGATCACTCTTTATACACTTACAACTCGGTTTCTTTCATATAAGTTCTGCTGCCTTTCTTTAGGTTGAGCTACTGCCCTGTTAATTATTGTAACAAACATTATCATTTGCTAGTTTGCTCTGTGTTGAGAATTGACCAATAAGTTTTGTTTGCGAATTAGCTTTCTGTGTGCATGTAGTTAATCCCCATTTTACTAATTTCTGAATCAAACATTATTATTTCTGTCCTCAACAAGTCGCAGTGCCATGTTCTCTTTTTGTTCAGTTAGCCCTGTCAAATATAATCAACATGCCTCCGTTCCATTTTGCTATTTGTACTTAGGTAGAAAATGCTAAATTTTGTACATGTACATGTAATGCTGAAGCTATATTGGTTGCTTGTTTCTTAATTTTTTCTTTTGTAATGATGATCTGAAATGCCATCCAGGTCACTATTGGTGGTGCTGCTGCTGTGGTTGTTGGAGGTGTTGTTGTTGCATCTGGCGGAGCTGCCGTTGGGGCCCCAAAAGGTAACCTTCATCAGCCACAACCCCACAACAATGGCTCAAGGTTTTGTGCCCCATCACCCCTCTTTCTAAATTACTGAAATGAACCAAGATCTCATATATTTAGGAACCGAGGTAGTAGTAAGGTTAAAATAGAACAGCAAGGGATGTTTCAAATTTGGTTATGCTAGAATAATGCATCAACTCGCGGTATTCTTGGATGTTACTCTAAGGTGTCAAAATGATAGTAAAACCTAGGCTCTTGCATGGTTCTTGAATTAATTTTTCTATTTTATTGCTAACAAATATTGCCTATGTTGAGACTCTAAACATGTGGATGTTCCTCTCATTTACAGGAATTCTACCTGAAGAAATTCAGAGAAAGCTTGAAGCCCCAGTTAGCGACTTGCTTTATATGTTATTGACTTGTAATGCTAAATTTGTTGAGAATTTTGATGTACTGTTGCATATGTTACTTGAATGCTGGTAGTTATGTACATATACTCACTATATTATCCGTTGTTTACTTGAAATGCATTCTTGGGATGAAAGTAGCTGAAAAACTATATGTTGTATTGAATTTGTGCTAATTGTGTATGTCTATTCTACAAAAGAAGAGGCACGGTCCAAATGGAAGAAGTACTGAAATGGATACTGGACCTAATCTATTTGGGCTTTTGAAAAGAGGCCCGAAACATACTGGCAGCAATTAAGGCTGAAAATTAAATAGAAATGCATAAAAAAGGCCGAGGCCCAAAAAAGAAACAGATAGTAAAAGGCCATGGCCTAGAAAAAAAATGCTAAAATGTTGGGCTTGGCCCATGAAGCCGATCAAAAATTGATAGAAAAAATATATTAAAAAGGCTGAATTAATGGGCTCGGCCCATCTAAAACACCTAATCGGACCGGGCTGAATCTTGTCAGTGACCTTATGAATTGGTCACAATTTTGCCACGTCAGATTGCCACGTCGGATTCGATGTGGCCTAGGCAGTCAGCTAGTGACCAAAACAAAAGGTCATGGGTTCAACGACCTTCTATTTTGGTCGTAAATGTCTACGACCTTCTCACAGAGAAGGTCGCTATAGTCAATTAATGACCCCCAGCTTTTGACCTTATGTTTTTGGTCACAAAAAGGTCACAAATTGAAAACTATGACCTTTCAGTGACCAATAGTGGAGGTCACTAGTTGACATATTTCTTGTAGTGGTCCAACCTTCATCCTCTTCTGGAAAACTTCAATATTGAACCGTGGGTGTTGTATGAATACCTTCCTCGCCTCCTAACCATACAGGTGGTTTGAGAGGTAATCATCAATGAACTGCTTTATAAAGACCTGAAAACAAGGATGTGCATAAATATCTTCTCTATATTGGAAATGGGGGCAAAGGAATAAAAAAGGCAAGGTATAATAGTTAGTACCATCCTATAGTGAATTGATGTCTTCTTCATTGTGCAGACAAAGATCTTGTTGTTTTGTGTCGCTAATTTCTTTATCCTAAAAATCTATCTGAGTT